CTCAAATACCAACGGTCCCCCACCTGGACCAGCTACGAGATCTCGGAAATGAATGCACTCAAATCACCTCATTGCGATTGCAAACACTTCAGTTTTATTGACATAACATCGGGGTTATTATACGTATCTTTAGGGAAACACACCCTCAGATCTTCCAATCAAATACATGTACATTATTTTACCTTAACTCAACAATTATTTGTATGAGGTTTGCATTTTCACTCTTTTGCTTTATCTATCATACCATAACTGCTCTAAACGCCCAACCATGGCTGCAATCTGACCTAACACCCAAGTTGTGGTTAAAACTTTTCAGAAGTGAGAGTAAACCTTATCTGCTTTTTTGTACGGTTTTGCAAAAACCCTCATTTCTACATGAAGCTGAGATAGACAGTTTTTTGTTAGTGTGCACACATCTCATATATATATATATTAAACTAGCATCTTGTATTATGTATACAAAATTGATTCATTATATTCCATTTAATCCTTTCAGAGGAAAAGACCTAAGACTAGGAGAGAAGAGAAAGAACAAAGAACTAGAAGAAAGAAAGCTAAGGGAAATAAGAGGGGAGGAAGAGACAAGGGGAACTAGAGAAGAAGAGAAGACCAGGGAAACTAGAGAGGACGAGGAGCCAGGGAACTAGTAGGAGAAGAGGAGACCAGGGAACAAAGAGAAGAAGGGACGGAGGCTAACTTAGGAGAGCGGAGGAGGGAATAGAGAACTATAAAGAAGAGGAGACCAGGGAACTAGAGAGAAGGAAGGAGACCAGGGAACTAGAGAGAAGGAGGGGACCAGGACAGAACTAGAGAGGAAGGAGGAGACCACGGAATACTAAGAGTAGAGGGGAAGAGGAGACCAGGGAACTAGAGGAGGAGGAACCAGGGAACTAGAGAGAAGGAGGAGACCAGGGAACTAGAGAGTACGGGAGGAGACCAGGGAACTAATGGGAAGAGGGTAGGAAGACCAGGGAACTAGAGAGAAGTTTTTGTGGAGACCAGGGGAAATAGAGAAAGGAGGAGACCAGATATGGAACGCGATAGAGAGAAAGAGGAGAAGAAGGGAAATAGAGGGGAAGGAGAGAGACCAGGGAACTAAAGAGAAGGAAAGAACAGGGAACTAGAGAGAAGGAAGAACAGGGAACTAGAGGGAAGGAGGAGACCAGGGAACTAGAGAAAGAGGAGGAGACCAGGGAACTAGAGAGAAGGAGGAGAGACCAGGGAACTAGAAGAAGGAGGAGGACCAGGGAACTAGAGAGGAGGATGGAGACCAGGGAACTAGAAGAGAGGAGGTGGAGACCAGGGAACTAGAGAGAAGGAAAGGAGGAGACCAGGGAACTAGAGGGAGGAGGAGACCAGGGAACTAGAGAGAAGGAGGAGACCAGGGAAACTAGAGTGGAGGAGGACCAGAGAACTAGAGAGAAGGAGGAGACCAGGGAACTAGAGAGAAGGAGGAGACCAGGAACTAGATAGAGGAAGAGGAGACCAGAGAACTAGAGAAGGAGGTCTTGTGAGGAGCGGAAGTGGTGCGTGTTGGGTGGTACTTGGATATTAGGTCCAGTGATGTAGTTCGGGGCAGTATGGTGGACCGGCTTTGTACTCAGTGTAGGATTTTGTATCTGATCCGTTGTGCAAGGAAGCCAGTGGATTTGGATTGCAGAGGGGTGGATGGACACGAGTGTGAGGGGAGGAAGCACTTGAGCATGGAGAGGCCAGTGGAGACACTTGATGGCAGAGGGGTAAGAAGGGTGTGGAGGACACTGAGTGGAGCCAGTGGAGGGATTGCAGAGGGGGGGTGGAGGACACTGAGTGGAGGCCAGTGGAGGGATTGGCAGAGATGGGGTGGTAGGACACTGAGTGGAGGCCAGTGGAGGGATTGGCAGAGGGGGGGTGGAGGACACTGAGTGAGGCCAGTGGAGGATTGGCAGAGAGGGGTGGAGGGACACTGAGTGGAGGCCAGTGGAGGGGATTGGCAGAGAAGGGTGAGGACAATGATGACAGTGAGGGATTGGGGTGAGGCACAGTGGATGGGGATTGGCAGAGGGGGTGGAGGACACTGAGTGGAGGCCAGTGGAGGGATTGGCAGAGAGGGATGGAGGACACTGAAGGGATTGCCAGTGGAGGGATTGGCAGAGAGGGGTGAGGACACTGAATGGAGGCCAGTGAGAGGGAATGAGGCAGAGGGGGTGGAGGACACTGAGTGGAGGCCAGTGGAGGGATTGGCAGAGAGGGGGGAGGACTTTTAGTGAGTGGAGGGCCAGTGGAAGGGATTGGCAGAGAGGGGTGGAGGACACTGAGTTTGGAGGCCAGTGGGAGGGATTGGCAGAGAGGGGTGGAGGACACTGACATTTTGGAGGCCAGTGGAGGGATTATTGGCAGAGAGGGTGGAAGGACACTGAGTGGGGGTTGCCAGTGTGGAGGGATTGGCAGAGAGGGTTCAGTGGAGGAGATGGGAAGGAGGGACAGTGGAATGGAGGCCAGTTTGATTGGATTGGCAGAGGGGGGGTGGAGGACACTGAATGGATTTCGCCAGTGGAGGGATTGGCAGACATGAGGGGTGGAGGACACTGAATGGAGGCCATGGAGGGAGTTTATGGTAAGTGTATATGTCCAAGACATTGGTGTCAGTGGATCTAGTAAGTTTATGGATTCCTGCTTATGAGGACCCCACAATTGTGGTGTGTCAGGGGGAGAGGTAAGTCATTTATAGAATAACGCTGAAAAGATGGTGGACAGTAGAAGAGTAGTACATATGCAGAATGTCTGAGTGTCATAGGAGTAGTATTCCCTTAAACATTGGTGTCCCAGTGGAAGTAGCGTATGGGTCTAATGCGCGATTATAGAGGTACCCTCTATAGTGCCGTGAGTCAGCTTAGTTGACTTACATCTGTATATGTTTCTCTTACATATGGGGTGTCCCTCAGGGTGAGGTAGGAGTATGTCCCTCTAGCACGATTGGTTGTTCGGTAACATATACCTTGGTTGTGTCATGTCGTTCGTATGGATAATAGCGAGTACATATCTTACATGTATAGTCCAGTCACTAGCCCAGTAATATTAATCCTTTACATGATATAATGTCATGGAGTAGTTTTAATCATGACGCACATTGGTGTCAGTGGCTTTTTTAAGTGGATGATCTCTCTTACATTGGTGTCAGTTAGGAGAATGCGCCCGAATATGTGGAAGATTACACACATTGTTGTCAGTAGATGGAGGGTAAGATATCTATATCTTACAGCATTGGTGACAGTCAGTGGAGTAGTATTAGAAGAATCTCTCTTTGACCTTACTTATTGGTGTCAGTGGAGAACTAGTATGTCCACCTTACCATTGAGGCGTGGTCCAGTGGATGTAAGTAGTTCCCTAGTCTCTTGTACATTAGTGTGTCCATGGTGAGAGTAGCTATCTTATCTTCTTATTAACATTGTGTCATGTGGAGTAGTATGATGCGTCCCTTAACATATGGATGTCACCAAGTGGAAGGTTGTGATTAGCCCCAGTTTTAACATTGTGTCAAATGAATTAGCTAATGTTCCTTAACACATTAAGTGTCAGTGAACGTAATGATATGTCTCATTTACAATTGGTGAGCAGCAGTTGATAGTAGTGTGAATGGGCTTTACGATTATAGGTGTCATTTGAGTAGAAAATCCCCTTACATCGAGGTGTCAGTTGAAGTAGTATGTCTGCCTTATCTATTTGAAGTGTCAGTGGAAGCAGTATTCCCATTACATAAGGGTGTATCAGTGGAGTAAGTATGTCCCTTTACCATTGGTGGCAGTTGCTTCCAGAAATTGATCTGTGTACATTTGTGTCAGGTTTTGAAAGTGATCATGTCTCCATGCCTGGACGGTCGGTGTTTGATGTTGCGTTTAAAACCTATGATCAGCCTGCTGACACCGCATTGTTGTAGCAGTCATAGCCCACGTCGGCAGAGTAGAGAGATGATGCTGTCACTTACATGACACTGCAAAGTGGAGTCAAGGTTCAGTGCTGCGGAGGTTATAGACTTCCCTCTGCGCCAGTCCCAGTGTGACATCTGCGGGTAGGCCGTTCTCCCAAAACACCTGCAGATACGAAATGTCTCAGTGTGTGTTCTCGGGCTGAGAGATGAAATGTGGTGTCAGTGGAGTTGGGGAGGGGGGGCGGTAGTAAGACATGTCCAGGATTTCCCATTGAGTGGGTGGTGGCTGTCCATGCAGAGAGCAGTCAAGACAGACCAGAAGTTACAGCTGCACAGAATGGGATTTCCCGTTGTGTCGAGGTTGAGGATGTGAAATCCCGAAGAATGGTGTACTCAGCTGAGAAAGGATGGTAGCCCAGTGAAAGTCACCAGCAGAACACACGGTCCAGAGCACACCAAACATTTTGCCTTTTTACTACCTTGGTGTCAGGTAGGGAAAGTATGATGGTCAGTGGCTACGAAAGGAGAGAAGATAGGAGGTAGTATGTTTGAGGACTCAGAAGGGCTCTGTGGTGACAGGACAGACCAACCCCACTTACACCTCTACGACCTCCACGGCATCCTGGGGATGGGTCCAATGAGACTCCATACATTGAAGTGCTGCAGTGAGGCAGTTCGGTGCTAGACCCTCCATATCGACCACTTGGTGGATCAGCTAGGAGGTTAGAGAGCGAGTCTACATGAACAGATGGGGGGTGTTTTAGGATCAGGAGGAGTACCTCCCATACAGTTGTGGGGTGGACAGGACGTGAATCTCTCTTAGGATCTGCTTTGTCAGAGAGTGAGGTGTGAGGCTCACTTTAGCGGAATGTCCCCCCGCGTTAGAGGAGAGAAGTTATGTCCTTAGGCATGAGCGGATGTGTCAGTGAGCGTGTAAAAGTCTACCAGTATCTATGGTCAGTGCGAGTGGTGATAAAGTAGGAGTAGGTGTGGTACCAAAGAGGTGAGACGGAAGCATTGAGGACACATCTACATTGTTTGGGGAGCAGTATGAAACCTTACAGATTTTGGGAACGGAGAGGAATATAGGAGGATGGAAAAGCAGTAATAGAAGGTACACTGTTGGCGGAAGGTTGTGGAGGGCTTCAGTGAGATAGTCCAGCATGCAGTGGGTGCATCTCTCTTACATTGGAGTCAGTGGATAGTTGTATATCTCTTACATTGCTGTCAGTGGAGTAGTATGTCCCATACATTTTCGTGACCCAGTGGATATATGTCCTTATAGTTGGTGTCATGAGTAGTATGTCCCCTTACATTCGGTGACATTGGAGAGTATGTCCCATACATTGTGTCAGTGAGTATCAAGTCCTTGACAACCACCGTCCATTGTTGTATTGAATAGGCCCTTGTTCCATTGGATTGGTGACACCATCCTCATGTTGAGGTCATTTGGCCTGGAAGCCACTGTGGGGCCCTCCTAACCTTCCATCAGATCTAATGGTATGGTATGGAATTTGGGGGAGTGGTATGGATTGGGGGGGAGGGGCCCCTGCGCAGTGGTCCATACCCTTTTTCAGTGGGGACTTTTCAGGGGAATTTTTTTTAAGGGGAACCCCCCCCCCCCCCCCCCCCCCCCCCCAAAGGGTTTTAATTTTTTTTTTTTAAAGGAATAAATTTTATTTTTTTTCCTTTTAGTGAAGAAAGAATTGACTGCCCTTTAAGAACCCGGGACTTTTTTGACAACCCTTTCCCCGATCCCTGTCCCCAAGGGGGCCCCCCCCGGGGGGCCCTAAATCTTTTTTGGCCAAAACCTGGGCCCTAAAAAAATTACCCTAGGGCACAAAGGGCAGGTTTCAAAATTTTCTCGGCCAATTAAAAAGGGGTCAAGGGCGCCAGTGCATTGTGGGGGCCCGGTTTGGCCCTCAGATCACAAGGAAAATCCAGCCCGACATAATAGACCCCCCCCACCAAAACCCCGGGTGTTTTAACAGCAATGTCTTTCCCCCGTAGTGGGTGGGCTGACCTCCCCCGTTTGTGATGGGCTGACCCCCCCGTAGTGTTTGGGCTGACCCCCCCCCTAGTGGGTTTTGGGTCCCTAATCCCCGTTGTGATGGGCTGACCTTTTAGTGATGGCTACTCCCCCGTAGTTTAATTTTTTGGGTGGGGGCCCCCCCCGGTTTTACTTCTCCCCTGGGAACCCCTTCCACCCTAATTAACCCGATCCCCCCCACCAACCCCCCCAAACCCCATTTAAAAATCTTTGGGCCCCAAACCCTTTTAATTTTACAAGGGAAACCCCTTTTGAAAGGTTTAAAAAACCATTTTTGGCCCAAATTTTAAAGGGGGGTGCGGGGGGGGGGCCCCCCATCAGGGGAACCAGGCTTTTTCCAAAAAAAAAAATTTTTTAACAATAAAAAAATTAAAAAAAAAAAATCCCCTTTTTTTTCATACCCAAAAAACCCTTTCTATTAAACCTCTTACAATGTATTTTTTTATTTAAAAAAAAAAAAGGTTTTTTGGGGGCCCCCCCCCCCCCCACCCGCCAAACCCCAAAAGGTGTGGTAGGAAGGTTTGGAAACCCCCCCCCAATCCAAAAGCCAGACCCCTTTTTGTTTTGGGTTAAGGAATTTTTAAAAGGGGGCCCCTCAATCCATAGCAAACCCATTTTTTGGGGGAAAAAGGGAAAGGGTTTTGGAGGGGCCCCCCCCAATCCATACAACCCAATTTTTTTGGAGAGGAAAAGGGTTTGGAGGACCCCCAATCCATAGCAGACCCAAATTTGGTGTTGGGAGGAAGGTTTTTGGGGGGCCCCCAATTCCATAGCCGACCCATTAGGGGGTGGTAGGGGAAGGTTTTTTGGAAAACCCCCTAAATCCATAGCAGAAAACCCCTTAGGTTTTTGGAAGGAAGGTTAGGAAGACCCCCAATCCATAGCAAACCCAATTAGGGGTGGTAGGGAAGGTTAAAAGGGGGAAAACCCCCCCCAAAAACCTAGCAACCCTTGGGTGTGGTCGGAAAAAGGTTAAAGGGGGAAAACCCCCCCCTCCATAAACAAACCCCCTTAGGTGTGGTAGGAAAAGGGGTTTTATAAAGGGCCCCCCCAAACCAAAGCAGACCCCCCTAGGGGTGGAAGGGAAGGTTTTGGAAAAGGCCCCCCCAATCCATAAACAAGGGGCCCATTGGGTTTTGGGCGGGGGTTAAAGGGTCGCCCCCAAAATCTATAGCAAAACCCCTTAGGTG